TTGTCTAGTTTTAAGGGTCACTATGGATTGGATTCGACTCAAGGGCAATTAATTTTAATTTCTTTGAGGAACCGTCACATGATTGGTTTTTACACAATGGCTATACCATTTTGCATTCCCATCAGCAATGGACAATGGTTCCAATATCCTCACATCCTTGTCAACACTTGTCACCTATTTTTGTTCTCTAGTGCTGCTTATAACAAACACAAGTGGATGGCTTTAAGAGACATAAATTGATTTTCTTACAATTTAGAAGGCTAGAAGCCAGAATGTTCCTTGGAAGCCAGGTTGGTGAGGCGTTCATCTCTCATATTTCAGACCTGTAATGAGGGGCCAGTTCCTGAAGGACATCATGTGTGGTGAAGTGGAGGGTCAGCAAAAAAAAAAAGACTCCCAAGGAGATGGACTGATCCAGTGGCAGCGCAGTGGGTTCAAATATAACACTTGCGAGGCTGGCACAGGACCAGGCAATGTTTGGTTCTGTTGTGTATATGGTCACTCTGGGATGGAACTGACTCCACTGCACCTAACAACAACAACGACAAGTCTGAATTGAAGGCGTCGACTTTAGGGAAGTCTGTCTCTGTCAGCTCAGGAGGAGCTGCTGCTCCTGGGTGATCTTCACGTGCTTACCATCTCTTCCCAGTGTGGCCTTTTGCAAGCTTGTGTTTAATCTTTTCAGTTCTGAAGAGACTGACTCTAGTTACACCCTACATCAATCTTGCCTTATTAACCTAACACAGCTTACTTTCAAATGGGATTATAACCACCTCCACAGAGGTTACGATTTACATTTTTGGGGAGCACAATTCAAACCATAACACAGCATTTCTGGGACAATTAGAAAAAAACAAACACAAATGTGCAAACCAGATTTCAATTTCCTCTCCACTGACATGAGACTTAAAACAGCAACAGGAAGATTTCTAGGTCAGTGTCAATATGTAGTCACAAATTACCAAGTAGTAACAAATTGGAGTGCACGGGTGTGTGATTTTGTGTTTTGGCTTGGGAGAGACACTGAAACATTCACAACATACAAGCCAAATCATAAAAATAAAATGAGACTTACAATCCCATCATTTAGAAAGAGTAGGATTTAGCTATGACATCTTGCAGATTTGTAATAGCCTGCCTTTTGCTTCAGCAGTTCTAAATAATACAAGTTCTAGAACGTATGTACAACTTTATTTTCCTTTTCCATGTCTGTAAGGGAAGCAATCCTGAATAAAACTTATTTTCAACAGAAGAAAACCCAAGGATTTATTAACAAACTTGGAAAACTGTAACAGGGGCATACACACTCAGATCTCATATTATTTATTAGGAATTAGGTAGTGATGACAAATAACTAATTCCTCATCTAAATATTTTCTTGTATTTTTCTTCAATTTAAAAGCATTTCAAAGAACAATGTTTACTAAGAACAGAATACTATTCTACCACTTAAAAGTAATCGAAGTTGGAAATCAGTACTGTAACCTACAGGTAAGAAGTAAAGAGGGTTAGAACTCTCAGTACTTACTCTGATACAATTTATTACACTACTGAAATGAAGAAGTAAAGACATTTTAAAAAAATTTATTTTATAGAAACTTATACTCTCCATATTAATACACCAATGGAACTGCCATATTTCTTCCTCTGAGGATAACATTTTCTATCTTTTTAAAACACTACATTTATATCTCAAAGATGACAGCTATCAGTGTGGATTGTACAACGTAAAAAAAGAAATATTTTCACAACTGGACCACTAAATATCATCACGATAAACATGGAAAAGAATGAAGTTGTCAAAGACTTCATTTTGCTTGATCCACAGTCAACACTTATGGAAGCAGCAGTCAAGAAATCAAAGGCTATATCGCATCAGGCAAATTTGAGGCAAAATATCTCTTCACTGTGTTAAAAGAACAAAGATAATCAGTTTGAGAACTAAGGTGTGCTTGACCCAAGTCATGGTATTTTCAATTGCTTGATATACATGTGTAAGTTGGATAATAAAGAAGGCTGTAGAAGAATTAATATATTTGAATTATGGTGTTGGAGAAGAATATTAAAAGTGCCATGAATTGCCAGAAGAACAAACAAAGCTGACTTGGAAGAAGAGCAGGCAGAATGCTCCTTAGAATTCAGATGGCCAGACTTTGTCTTAGACTTTGGACATGATGTTGAGAGACCAGTCCCTGGAGAAGGACATCATGCTTGGTAAAGTGGAGGGTCAGTAAAAAAGAGGAATATCCCCAATGAGATCAACTGACACAGTGGCTACAGCAATGGGTTCAAATGTAGCCATGATGAGGAAGGCACAGGACTGGATAGTGTTTTGTTCAGTTGTGCACAGAGTTGCTATGACTTGGAATTGACTTGATGGCAACTAAAAACAGCATTTATATCACCATCAAGAAGCTTCCCCGGACAGCTTCCCCTAATAAAAGAAATAGACCTATAAGGTAATTACAGGGGACAGGTTTTATATTTTGGACAAGTACTTATTTCAAAGAATCCATTTCCTAGACAGCTAACCTCAACATATCTCTGCAATCTTTATTCCAAAAACACTCTTACTGCAAAGTCAATTTTTCTGAAGCATAAGACAGTAATTTCAAATCCACTGATCTAAGGGATGATGTCTTTATTCTGGGGATACATCCTAAAACGACACATTTTTAAATCTCCACTGATTCCTTAAACCTACCCTGATGTTTTTAACAACCATTTAAGGGAGCAACATAAACATTTCCTGCACTTTGATTTTCTTCTTTTTAAGTTCAAAATAAGCTTATAAAGGTTTTTTTTTTAAAAACAAACAAAAGAAAAACCTATTTTTTTCTATTATTAAAGGATCGACTTGAAAATTAACTAATTTTTATCTGTACTTTAAAACATGCAACAATTTATATCAAATGCCTAAATGATCACAAGATTTCATTGATTTATAATCTAAAAAATATATCTCGAGATAATTTTATTGATTTAATTAGATTCTTGAGCAACAACTATTTACTGACACGATTTTTTTAGCCTTTTTATTGTAAATTGAGTGAAGGTTTACAGATCATTTTTACATTCAGCAAATCAAGACACTTCATTTCATCTCAATGACTGCAATCCCTTCAGTGAACATGACTCGTCTCACTTCTCCCTTTATTTCTTATTTCCATTCTTCCTCCTCTCCCAACTCTTCTGAACTTTGTCCATGAGTAAATACTGCCCTTTAGACCTTGAATGGTTAGCCATTCTATGGTGAGGATTCCTCACTAGTGTTGTTGTTCTGCCCTATATACTTCTCTATTGCTAAGCTGAAAATTGAACCACAGGGGTGAGCTCAGTTTCAGACCTGAAAGGTGGTCAGAGGGTATATATAGTCTTAGGGTTTCACTAGTCTCTAGCTGACCAGTAAAACTGGTCTTTTTATGATTTTGAGTTTTATTCCACATTTTCTCCCACTTTATCCAGAATCTTCTAATGTGATCCCTTTCAGAGCAGTTCGTAGTGGTAGTCAGGTACAGACTGATGTTCATGTGGTCCAATAGTCCACTGGACTAATTGTTCCAATTGTCTTAAATTTTCATCAGTCGTCTTTCCTCCAAATGGGGAGAGACCCACAGTTGCACCTTAGATGGTCACTCATGAACTTTTATGATCCTAGCTGCTCCTTACCAAAATAGGATGTTGAACATGGTTTTGGTGGACTATGTTATACTGGCATAATTATTAATTGAAAATAAATTTCCAAATCCTCAAAGTAAGAACTAGAGGACTCTGAGATCAATCAATAATCTCTATGAAGTCAAGACTTACATGGTGAACGCATGCTCCAGGTGTACAGCCCCTCTTCTTTACTCTTCAGAGCAACAAGACAAGAGTTATTCCCATCTCCATTTCACAAGGGGAAACAGCTTCAGAGAGGGTAATGGCTTGCAAGAACGTACAATTTTTTAGAGAGTTATTTAACTCTATACTTGGCTGACAAGTAGAGCCATAATCTTATATTCTTTTGACTACATCATGATGCATCACAAAAACATGAAATGTCTCATTACATAAAGTAGAAGGCAAGTCTCTTTTAGAAGGTGAACACAATTTGTTCTATTGCCACTAGATGCCATCTTAGACATTTAAGTTTCCCAAAAATAACCTGTAAAGTCTTTTAAAACCAAACAATAGCTTAGCTTAACTAGTAAAGACTGTCTGCCTAGAGTATTGTGCTTTTTTAAGACCTATATATACATACAAGTCAGATCACAACAGCAACTGAAATGATTAGACAGGATACTCCAGGGCATCGACTTTATGGTAACGGGGGAGGAGTAACTCTGAAGAGCAGAGGGAGGATAACTGCACCACGTGACGAGCACAGTGTCACTGAGCTGTATATGGAGAAAGAGTTGAATTGGTGTATATTTTGTTACGTATATTCTTAACAAGGACAACAAACAAATGATTAGGAAATAAAACCTCAAAAAACATTAATGTTTCTTGATTATGATGATTCATAAAAGGAAAAGCTGGTAAAGGTATTAGACTATAAGTCATTTTTTCGAGGTAATTTTAATTTATATACCAGGTAGTCTATGAATGTCGAGAAATCCAGTCGAATGTTCATTTTATAAACAGTGATGACTAAATAATTATATTTTTAATAAATTGTAAATCACATTAATAAAATAACATTAAATTGAATAATCACAATTACTGAGTAAGTTATAATACTCCTTCCTCTAAGTATAGATTAATAAAGAAAATATATACATACACACACAGAGTAACACCAAAAGGAGAGATTATTTTTTCTTTTAGTAAATACTTGTGTCCTTGAGAATTTGGAAAACAGCATATATTCAAAATATGAAGCACATATTTTCTAGTACGTTGTGATAAATCTAAAGTATGAATTTTCCTTAGTCATCTCTTTTTTGCAGCTGAGCTGTTGAGTCAATTAGTCTTAAACAATGACAAAGAAATACACAGAACAGAGTAGGAAAATAATGTTTCAAACTATCAATATTTTATTTAACAAAAGCAATAAATGAGACATTTCTAAATCTTATAATAGTGTACTTAATATAAAAATAAAGAATTCTCCAAAATCTGTACTAAAAATACAAATTTTATGGACCAGAAGTACAGAGAATTTTTATTTTAAATTTCAGTCACCCAAAACAGCAGCTTGTGGTCTCCTCCAATTGCACACAGTGGGAGAGTTCTATGCCAGGAAAGACCAGATCCAACAGCTACAGAGCCAGTGAGGACGGGCTACAAAACATGTGAAAAGTTAAAGCAGCTCAGTGAATCCCCCAAGTTAATAAGTAAACATAAACTTTCAAAACTAAGAAATGCACTGCTAAATTAACTGTGTTTGCGGTGGAAACAATTTTAAATAAAGAAGGAAATGCAAAAGCAGAAGAGATAAACTGCATCTTCACTGAATACTGGCAAAAAAATATGCTAACACTGTTGAATTTAAGTATCAAAATCCACCGTCTCTTTCCAATTCAAGCAGATAGCAGACATTCATAAATGTTTCTAGCTAACATATTTGAAAATCTGAGGCTACGAGTGGAAAAGTAGAAAAGATAGATTGAAAAACACATACACCACAAAACATTTCCACATTACCTGAGGGTGCCCTAAGTGGTGAATTTGAAACTGGCTTGACATTTTTCCAGGATAGCCAGTTGTAGCAAACAAGCTTTCACTAACTGTGGACCACCTAAGACAAACAATAGCATCAAAATAGGTATGGTTTCCTAAGCAAATATTTTTTTAAGTATAAAAGCAACAATTTTATAACTCTCAATATGGCTTTACAATTAGAAAGGCAACTAACTATATGAGAAGGCTTCAAAAGTTCATGGAAAAATTCCATTATCATGCATGTATATAAACTGAAATATGTCCTTTACAAACCACATTGAACATTCTTAATAAACATAGTGATCCACTTGTGAGTAAATTTCTTGGGATGACATAAACACCCAGAATATTTAAGTATACAGGAACGCTGGACATTGTAGCAGCAAATCACCAACAAGTGTTTACAAAGCTCCAGTGACATACCCAGGACTGTTCTAAGTGCAAGCAGGGGAAATATAGGAAAAACGATTCCTTGACAAAAAATAGTTAAAAATCCTGTTGATATTTTTAGATATGGAGGACACTACTGGTTGGTCTACAACAGCCAGCTGCTCTTCTTCCATGGTAACTGAGTTCTAGCATTGTTCAGATAGCTGTGTGTCTTACTTGGGAGGAGAAGCACATCTGGCTTAAGGCAATCATAGCAACTGCCAATAAAGAAACTTCCTTTCCTCTCATTCTGGGCAATGCAGCAAGGGGTTATGATGCCTGAGAGTTTGGTAGCTCAGGACCATGTGATTGAGGATGGCTGAGGAGAAAGATGAAAGGCTCTGAGCTTTCACTGCATCGATAAGCACTGAACTACTGTGAGACTGACTCCCCTAGACTTTGTGTGAGTACTACAGCTCATTGATCTACAAATGCCCATTTGCCCATATTTGTGAAATCAAGATGCGTCTTATAATTTAGGTTTTCTTCTATTTATTGTTGTTAAGTGTCACCGAGTTGGTTCCGACTTATAATGACCCTGTGTAGGGTTTCTGAGGAGCAGCTGGTTGAATTTGAACCGCCGACTTTGAAGTTCAAATCGACCTTGTGGTTGAATGCTTATCTGACAGTGCCACACCAGGACTCCTTTCTCATATTTGTTGTTGTTAAGTGCTGTAGAGTCAGTTCTGACCCAGAGCGACCCTGTATAGGGTTTTCAAGGAACAGGTGGTGACTTTTAACTTCCAACCTTGTTGTGCAAACCAACCTTGAGGTGAATGCTTAACGGGGCACATAAAATAAGGTGTTCACAAGTGGCACAGTTTTATGTGAGATCATTTAGATTTGATGAAATGAGTTGTTGTTAAGTACCACTGAGCCATTTCTAATACACAGTGACCTTGTATAGGGTTTCTGAGAAGCTGCCAGTGGGTTTGAAACAGCAGCCTTGCAGTTTGCTGTCCAGTGCTACGATTCCACAACAGGAAAATGTGGTATATAATAAATGTTCCACTGGTTTTAGTCACTTTTAGTTGGGATTCCTGTCACTTAAAGCTGAAAGAAGCCTAATGAATATCCTATATAATAGTGAAAAACATAAAGGCAGACTTGTATGTTAGTTTAAGTGAAAAAAAGCCACAAATATATAATTTATAGCATATTCCCATTTACAACATAGTATGTTGATATGTAAATGCATGGCTCTATCTACAATCACACCTTTATCAGCATAGCAAAATATTAGAAAGGATATGTTCTAAATTATTGGGGTGGTCTTAGTGAAGTAGCAACATACTTTTTTTTCACAAAAATTTTCAAAGAAAATATCACCTTTTCCCCCAGAACAAAATAATTAAAGCAAAAATTCTGTTGTTGTGTGTTAACTTAGGAGAGCAGAAACAACTATTTAGGAAACAAACAAATAAAAAGCCCAGTACAAAAGGAAGGATTGGAAAATATTCTAGGGTAGCAGCATAGCACACAGTCACCATAAAAAAAGAAGAAAAAGGTGATTAACTCCAACTAGAATAATATATTACCTGAATAAGTAAGCACGATCCAAATGGATAGGTCTCTTCTCTTGAGGATAACTAAAAGAAAACAGTTTGCATTTTATGAATTATGTCTTAGGCTCAAGTAGGTAAACAAATTAAAATTTAAAAGGTATTTTCTCTTTAAAGAACACAATGTCCAATGTACCTAAGCTGTAATAAAACGTCAAATAACACTACGTTGAAAGAGATAAAATATGGTAGAGACATCAACGTGACTTAGCACTCAGGACACCCTTGTTCAACAGGGTCAGTGTTTTCCTTTCATTCCCAACATAAGTAAATATCACTTAGATCACAGATTTCCTTCTCTGCATTGTCCTTTCTGAGATACTACCAAGTGAATCCGCAAAGTACGGGTACCCATATCTGTGATGCAAAAGGTCCCCAGCTCTGCTCTTCTCCAGGGAGAGACTTGATTGGGTTCTACAGTGAGGCTCAGTATACAAGGACAGCTCAGTGGGTCATCCAGCAATAGTGACTGAGTTCTTGTAAACAATAAAACAAATATACTAAGGAAGTACCTGGACTGAGTAATATCCCAAATGATCCAGTCATTCCCGGCAACAGCCCCAACTTTAAAGGTGTTTTTCAAGCACCAATGTGCTGACATCAGTGGTATCTGTTCCGATTCAAGAGACAAAATAGCCTGCTGGGCAATAAGATCATAGAATCGGATTGTTCCACTCTTCTCTGCGACCATCAGCTGAAAGACAGAAAAGTACCACTGAGCCATCTATCTCACTAGTCAAATCCGAGAAGGAGGCAGAGTCTACGAGACACAGCAATCCCTGAACATCTGCATCAGTTACAAAGGGGAGATAACATGAAAGGAAATAAGTAAGTCAACATACAAATAACCCACTCTGAAAAACAGAAAACTGGCAAAATCCTCAAAAAAGTTAAGTATCATTTTAAATGATGATGCATGCATACTTGAAAGAGATCAACCTCATGTTCATTCTGGAAAAAGTTATCATTAAGAGTGTCTAGAAAGGATAATGTGTTTCTCAATAGAGACATGTTTATGTGTTATCTTATGTGCTTAGGAAATTTTATTTCCTGAATGGAAGGCAGTCTGGGACAATGAAAGAACATAGATGTCCTGGGCAGCAGGGTGATTCCAATATTTACAAAGCTCAGAGATTCTGCCAAGTTTCAAGGTCTTCATTTTGAAAATGGAGATGTGTGGGTAAGAATAGCTACGTTGTAGGATTGGTGTGATGATTAAATGTGCAAGCTATATAAAGCACCTAGTACAATGCTTGATGCATAGTTATAACTTAATCAATACTAGCTACTATTCCATTAATATTTCTTTGGTTCTAAGACATGGAAGCCCTGGATAGTACAAATGGTTAATATGTTCCTGATAATCCAGAGGTACCTCAGAAGAAATGCCTGATAATTTATTTCTAAAAAATCAGTCAATGAAAACCGTATGAAGCACAGTTTAACTCTGATACAAATGGGGTCTCCATAACACCGATTTAAAATGCTCAAAGGAATTAATCACATACAAATGGGGTCTCCATAACACCGATTTAAAATGCTCAAAGGAATTAATCACATACAAATGGGGTCTCCATAACACCGATTTAAAATGCTCAAAGGAATTAATCACATACAAATGGGGTCTCCATAACACCGATTTAAAATGCTCAAAGGAATTAATCACACACTTGATATCTATGAAATGCACAAATTGTAATATATCATTAACTGCACATATTAATAATAAAATAAATCCAAATTTTACAATAAATAAATTCCTATTTATGAACTCAGTTATAGTGGCATCATTATTTTAGGAGTTTTCAGAGATAATGATGTCTAATATAGAGAGGGCACAGGATGCACCCTAATGACAGGTGAAATGTATGTCTCCTAGTGACAATGAAGGAAAAATGAAACGATCTAGTAAAGTCTGTGTACAGAGAAGAAATCAAAGACAATTTTAGGATTTTGAATTTTTGCAATTTAGAGCAGAACTTCCAAATACTCTGAAGTTATGAGGAAGAGGAACTGAAGATGAAAGTCACAGGTGACAGGTTCAAGACATTTAGAAATGGCAGATGTGAAGAAGAGAGTTTACGGGGAAGTAGAAGAATGCAAAGGCTAAGAGCAAGAACCATAGAACCAAGCTGCCTGGGTTCAAATGTCATTCCTTTTGATCTGTAGCTTGGCTTCCTTAATTGTGTAACACAATGACATACATGAAATTCTGACACAGGGGTTGGCATATAGTAAGCACCATACAGATGTGGAGGAGCCATGGTGGTCTGAACCCATCAAACACTTTGTGAGAGAAAGATGTGGCAGTCTGCTTCTGTAAAGATGACATTTCTACTATGCTCTAAAGGCTTGATTTTTTAAAAAAGGTAAATGTTTACTATGTTTACTATGATTAATCCAGGTTTATCTTTTTTGTACAAGTCTGAAGACAAGTCAAAGATAAGCACCAATGAAAAGAGGTATGAAGACAGATGTAGGGTGTGGCAGTAGGCTTCTGAAGGAACTGGCATGAACTCTAGAGGGCAACTGTAGGATTAACTTTAAGATGAACTTCTGGGGAAAGAGACAATAAAATAAAAAGAGTGAAGCATAGTCTGGCAAATGAGGATGCTCTGTTGAATGGCTTCTATCTTCCCAATGAAATAAGAAATAAGGCCATCTACTGACAGTAAGAACTCGTAGCGTACTCTGAGTACTATAGAAAATTCTATCCTGTTTAAATAGGAGTACAGCACCATCACAGCTAGCATGGATTTTCCTTAGGATACTGATGCCTTCTATTTATACCCATGACTTCAAGTTTGAAAAAATTTAAATACTAGAATATTGCTATTAGTATGCCATAATTTTCAGACTTTAACTGCCAAAGGGCAGGAAAAATAAACTCTGAGTAAATGCTATTTGGGGATGATGGTTGTCAAGTCAAAACAATTACAGAGAAACTTTTATTTTTAAGGAATAGATATCTAGACGAATCCAAACGCAATGTGTCAATTATAACCTCTGAGGTGAAAAAGTCATTCCATACCCTCCTGGAGGTGTGCATGTATCACATCTGTGTTATGTCTTTTCAGCTCGATAAAAAAATCTAAGTTATAAATATCAACCTTGTAAGTTTCTTCAGGGTGCCAGCATACACTCATTCCAGGGGAACGGAGAGCAAAATGAGCTGTTTGAACTCCTTCCAAGTCCCAAATCCTAAAAAACCAAAACCAACAAAGGTATAATTTAACTATTTTTATGTATCACTACTAAAAATTTCTAATTTTCATGTATTATTCAAATCTATTAACTAGAGCTTATAAAGTAGATACATGTAGTTAAAACATATCTTTTAAAGGAAATTATTATACTGATTTTAGAACATATCCAATTATTCTAACTAGCCTAACACAGTAATACAGTGCAGTGGCTATATTAGACTACATACATACTCAATCCTGACCTTACACAGTAATACAGTGTAGTGACTATATTGGTGGATGGTGGTTATGTGCTGTGGAGTCGATTCCAACTCATAGTGACCCTTATAGGGTTTCTGAGGATGTAAATCTTTACGGGAACATTGTTCTTCCATGTAGGGACTGGTAGTTTCAAACTGCTTACCTTTAGACTACGTATATACTCAATCTGGAAGTTTCTAGGTCACTAATCAGGTTGTTCTTCAGTAATCATTTAACAATACTTTCTACCAGTTACACCCAAAAAACAACAACAGTGCTCTCCTTTTCAGCAATAACATGTAAGAGAGCTGATATGATGTGATATGAATTTGGGGAGATACCCATTCTTCCTATTTCTGGGCTTCCCCTCCAGTATCTATTTACTTCCTATTTTATACATTTCTGTTCTGGTGTACTTCTCTAATGTCTTCCCACTCAGAGGCCGGATATGATAGCTGTCAGATTAAGGGTGGGTTAAAGGAACGGGCAAGGAGCCCTGGTAGAGTTGGGCTGTTAACTGCAAAGTTTGCAGTTCATCTCTACCAGCTACTCACTGGAGAAAGGTGAGGCTTTTTGCTCCTGTAAAGCTTTACAGCCTCCAAAAATGATATACAGGGTCACTACAATGGACTCAAGCATGGAAACAATGGTGAGATTGGCCCAAGATCGGGCAGTATTTCGTTCTGCTGTGCATAAGGTTGTTATAAGTCGGTATGGACACGCTGGCACCTAACAACAACAACTTGCGTTAAAACTGACTTGACGGCAATCAAGCACTTCCAAAAGAATAGCCACCTGGTTCCTCGCATCCTCTCTCTCCTTAATTCTTAAAATTCATGATGCACTACACCACAAGGTCGGTGATACAATGCACTTAGCATGATATCATTAAAAATGTCCAGATTTACTAAAAAAAAAAGGGTTCAAACTCACCAGCTGCTCCTTGGCAACTGTATACAGGGTTGCTATGATTTGGAAACAACTCGACAGCACTTAACAACAGGAAAGACCAGGTTCCTCATTGGTATGTCTCTACCATCCCAGTTTACTCCCTATTCCCAGAGTGGTAACCAAAATTCAGAAATCTTAACTATGGGACTTTATTGTAAGAAGTATTATACCAATCCAGCGAGCTTTCTGGTTCACTCTCTACATTCAATCACTGTTGTATCATGGGCCTGGAGTGGGACAGAGTTAGCATACCAGGAGATGGTGAATCGGTGGGCGACTGGCAAAATGTCTTCAGAATTCTGGTCCGTAACAACTGAACACATCTATTAGCATATCCTGAACTTTGTCTTTGAGGTTTTATAGTTCCTATTTCATTAGAGACCATAGAAAAATTTCAACAAATGTAAAGAGTGTATTTTTTAAAGAGGAGTAAAAATTTATTTCTAGGAAAAGTAACATTTATTGGATATCGTAAATAATTGGTGGCAAACAACATTTCAAGTGTTTTTTTGTCCCTACAGAAATTATAAGGTCTCCAATCCTGAAATGGCTTAACACAGTGGCTGCAAATCTGGGTTCATAAACCAAAAGCTAAAGTGAAAAGCGAGAAACACTGTCAACTGATGGTACATGGAGGGGATTATAATCATTGTAATGAAATAAGGTGTATGATTTGTTGAATGTAAAAATGATGATCTGCTCTGTAAACTTTCACTCAATCCACAATAAAACCCTTAAAAAAATACATAAAATATTAAAATGTATGAAGACATGTACCCAGTCTAACAGGTATGGATAACTAGTATTTATTATTTCATTCTAACCTGTCTCCTGTGAATGAAGTTCGTTTTTCCATCAGTCTCTTTTTGTATTTTTATATTACATTTATACTGCTTTCCTTAGCATTGTATTATTAAAAATTTCCAGATTTATTTAAAAAAAGGGCTCAAACATGACAGGACTATGAAGATGGTATATGACCAGGTAGTGCTTCGTTCTGTTGTAGACAGGGTTGCTAAGAGTCAGAACCGACTCAATGTCACTTAATGGCAACTCTTTTCTCCTGACAAATAATGCTGTTCAATCTTCATTTACTATCAAGGGAAATAATCACAATTTAACTGAAGAGGGAAATCACATTTACTAAAGGTTTATATACTTGTGTTTTACCCCTCACATGATGTTGTTCATGGCTACTTGGAGATTTCTTTCTATTGCTTTTTTAAAAATAAAGGGCTGGACTACCATATATTTTACCCCTATTGATAAAGAAGAATTGGTCTGGAAAATTCAGTGATTTCAACAAGAGAATGTTCAGAACCATTCCATTCTTTTGATTCTGTTCTTAGATGTATTTCATTTTTGTTGGCTACTATATAATAAAGTTGAGCAAATACATACCAGAATATTTTAATATATATTTTTTCCTTTTAAGTGACGAGAGCAAAAGAAGTGGGATTTGTAAAACATGGATAAAGATATACATAAAGACAGGGCAATTAATACTGCATATTTCTGGCCAAGATGCCAAATTTTAGTCTAATTTTTAAATAACATTTTACTCAGAATAAAACCCAACACCTTTCTTTTTAATCTGACTTAAAAATGTGAGCATGATCTAGATTACTTTTCAGGAGACTGACTATATACAATGACTTATGGTTTATAATTACATGCTTATTCAATACTTCTCAGTAGTTGCATAATCCAAATACTAAACATGCAAAATATAACAAATTGGGCTGAAATGAGTTATCATAACTAAATTAGCTACAGATGGCCCAATTGAAGTTGTTAAGTCGTGCTTCCCCTTTTTGATAGATTCCATAATTAAGCTCTCCTCAAATGCTTTTTAGAGTCCAAGTCTTTTCTCGGTGTCTATGACATGGCTCATCTAGTTAATATTAGTTCCACAGATAAAGTCACTTTCTTGGGGATGGGGTGGTGATTTTTTAAAGTATTCCTTACAAAATAAAAACAGAAAGCTCGTAAATGTACAGCTCAAAGAGAACGCACTCAGAAAGAACAACACCCAAATTAAGGAAACAGATTATTTCCAGTCATCTTATTTCTCCTAGTAACAATTCCTTGTTCCTCACAAGAGGAACTCACTCTCTGACTGCCTAGAGCTTAGCTTTGCCTATACTTGATCACAAAATTGTAATCACATGGTATGATGATGATTTTTCTGGGGGTCGGGATTCTGTCATTCACCATTAGATTCCGTGACATTTACTAACACTGTTTGCAGGTTGTACTCTATTCCTTCTCACTGCTGTAGACAGTGATTAAGGACACTGCAATAGACTCACTGTATTCTACTGCTTAAAGGTCATTCCAATTGTTGATCATTGCAAATAATGCCACTACAAACCTTTTGATATATGTCTTTTAGTGAACACATACACATAGAATCCTAGCCCTGCCACGTATTGTTGTTAAGTGCCATGGAGGAGGTTCCAACTCACAGCAATCCTATATAGAGTTTCCAAGGAGTGGCTGGTGGGTTTGAACCATCAACCTTGTGGTTCAAACCAACCTTGCAATCGAGTGCTTAACCTGCAGTGCCACACCAGGACATACTTAAAAATGAACTGTTGGATCATGTGTTATGAAAATATTCAGTCTTAGCAGACAGTCAAACAGTTTTCAAAAATTAGTTGTACCTCATATTTCTTTTAAATTACAAAATGCAAAAGTCTAAACTTTCTCTTATTTCTGATAAAAACAATCTTAAACCATTTACTTATCTGAGTGGCAAAGGTTGTTTTTTTTAAGTGTTGTAGAGTCAGTTCCGATTCATTGTGACCCTGCATAGGGTTTTCAAGACTTTAAATCTTTTGTGGGAGCAGAAAGAGCCATCTTTTTCCTGAGGAACGAACTCAAGCCTTGGATCTTGTGGCTCATAGTCCAGTGCTTATCGTATGGAGCAACTGTACTTCCCATGGCAAAAGCTTTTCAACTGATGTTACTTGTAACACAGATTTCTCAAATCATCCATTTTCTTACATTTTTGTTATTTTCATGTACCTGTGGTTATGCTGATATGATAAGCACTGGACTGTTAATCACAAAGTCAGCAGTTCAAACCCACCAGTTGCTCCATGGGAGAAAAAGTAGACTATCTGCTCCTGTGAAGATTTACCGCTTTGGAAACAGTCTATGGGATGATGTGCTAGACTGCAAGGTATGTAGTTCCAACTCACCATCCACTTCTCGGGAACCTTACACAGGGTTGGTCTGTATGAGTCATAACTCGTAACCACTACGCTACCAGAGCTCCTAAACAACATAATGGTTACGAATCGGGCTGCGAACCGCAAGGTCAGCAGTTCGAAACTACCAGTTGCTCCGTGGGAGAAAGACAAGGCGTTCTACTCCTGTAAAGATTTACAGCCTTGGAAACCCCCGCACAGGGTCACTATGAGGTGGAACTGACTCCACGGCACACAGCCACCATCAAAAGAAGTATAATGGAGCCAGGTTAAACTATCTTCACCAAAATCAAGAGCTATATAAAATGTACACATATGCCTATTTAAATGTTTACTACAGAAATTTTCAAAGGAAAAGTTTTTAAGGTAAAGTTAATCTGCTGATATATTAAGGAGAGAATAACATAGACTAATCAAACAGCACTGACAGAATACAGCATCATTCTTTAAGTAAAATGACCGTTTTTATCCAATTTGACAGTAATTGTGACAACTCCTCCCACTCTTTCTACTCTTTGGTCCAAACAGAATAAACTATAAAATGGAAGGGCTGAAAGATTACAGAGGCACTGATATCTCCGATTATGAA